ATATGGAATTAAAATCACTTTCGTAAGGAATTCGTTCTTGTGACATGCCTGATAGTCTCTGTTTTTGAGGAAGAATTTGTTTTAAATTCATAAAATGATTTAAGATGTCTGTTAATATAATTGGGGTAATATTTACAAGGCGTTGAACATTCAATTATATATTTAATTAAGGTTTCATATTTCTTCAATAAATTTAGGGATCCAATCTACAGAAGACCGTAGTGAATTTAGTTTACAAAAATCAAGTTTTTATTACTTAGTAGAGTTTCATTTGTAGGATTGAATGAACTTCTTTGTGTAAGACATCGGGAGTTGATAATAAATCAAAATATTGTATTAGTAGAATGCCATATTTTTTCTATAAAATTGGTATTTTTTACAAAATATTTCGGCCTGGAGGCTCTAAATCTGCTGGTAGGTACTGAATTCCCCGACTACACGTGATGCTGATTAGTAAAATTGTAAAAGTTCCTAAGACATAGACACATGCATACGAGCCGTTTAAACAATTCTCGCCATTCTACACCATGAATACGGTAATGATTCCGTCCCTTGTTGAAATATTTGGAGAGAGGTCCTGTAACTTATATCCCCAGGGCAGGAAAATCGTTTAGTCACTGTCTAAAACTCCAGACCAATCAGTCGTTTCCCTCGGTTATTTTAAAACCTTAGATCTATACCTATAAAAGAGGAAAATGTTTGTATGTTTTCTATAAAATTGTTTTTTTTTTTTTTTTTTAAATATTTCGGCCTGGAGGCTCTAAATCTGCTGGTAGGTACTGAATTCCCCGACTACACGTGATGCTGATTAGTAAAATTGTAAGAGTTCTTAAGACATAGACACATGCATACGAGCCGTTTAAACAATTCTCGCCATTCTACACCATGAATACGGTAATGATTCCGTCCCTTGTTGAAATATTTGGAGAGAGGTCCTGTAATTTATATCCCCAGGGCAGGAAAATCGTTCAGTCACTGTCTAAAACTACAGACCAATCAGTCGTTTCCCTCGGTTATTTTAAAACCTTAGATCTATACCTATAAAAGAAGAAAATGTTTGTTTGTAATTTATGGACTCGAAAACCGCTGAACAGATTTTCCTGAAAATTTCCGTGTATACTACAACATAACCTGAAAGTAACATAGGCCACATAAATTTTTGAAATTCCACTTGGAACTTGATATATAGCATCAGAATCGGAGGTATAAAAAATATTTTTATCTGCACACATCTATTGATCGATTACAGATACAGTCTCCAAATTTAGTATATGGGAAGGAATTGGAAAGAAAAATGAATTTGTCAAATTATATTGAAATAGGTTCAAATTTGGATATAGCTCCCATATATATTTTCGGCCGATTTCAAGCATTTGATGCACTAAACACGCTATATATTCCCAATTTCAATGAAATTTGAAACGTGTGATGGATTTTATCAAAACAAATTATTTGCCAAGTTATATTGACATCGGTTGAGATTTGTATGTAGGTCCCATATACATTTTCAGCCGATTTCAACACGCTGTGTATGTCAAATATTAATGAAATTCAGAACGTGTGATTGAATTTGGTCTAAAGATTTATTTATCAAATTATATTTAAATCGGGTCAGATTTGAATATAGGGCCTATATATATTTTCAGCCGATTTCTCATATTTCATTCACCAAACACGATACGTATGCCCGATTCCAATGAAATTCGGCTTGAGTGACTGAATTTGGTACAAAAATAAATTTGCAAAAATTTATTGAAATCGGTGAAGATATCCAAATCCCATATATATTTTCGACCGATTTCGTTTATTTGATGCTTCAAACACGATATGTATGTTCGATTCCAAAGAATTTTGGAATGTGTGCCGGGATTTGATCAAAAAAAAAATTGTCAAATTATAATGAAATCGGTCCAGATTTGGATATAGCTCCCATATATATTTTCGGCTGATCTCACATATTTGATGCACCAAAAACACGGTATGTAATTTTTTTAAATATATTGAAATCGGTTCAGATTGGGATATGATTTTATTAAGAAGTATTGACCCACAAAGCCTTTGCAATGGTATTAGGCTAACAGTACAAAACTACACAGCAATTTAATTGAGGATACGATTATAACGGGAAAATATGTTGCTACCTCGAATTCTCTAATTGCAACCGAAATGCCATTCAACTTCAAAAGATTGCAGTTTCCTACACGTTTGGCTTTTGCTATGAAATTAATAAATCCGAAGGACAAACTCTTCGTGCATGCGGACTAAATTTGACATATTCCTGCTTTCCTCATGGTCAGCTGTGCCTGGCATGTTCACGCGTTGGTAGACAGAGCTATTTCTTTGTTTACGCATAAAAGTATAACAATAATTACTTTTTAAATTTGTTTAATTTTTTTTCACCAACAAAAATTCGTATATAAAATTTTCATTGCATATAAAATCAAAAGGGGTAGCGAAGCACACCGGTTTCAGCTAGTATATTTATAAAAATACAAATTCGTTGTAACTGCGCGGCATAAGGTGGTTGAGCATTGAGAATAAGTAAAAAGACAGTATGTTCTGCAGGACCGCGGCGATCTTTCGAAATATTTTTCAATAAAAGTACACCTAAGTCTGTTTTTACACGGTCTTTTTGTACACGGTTTTGATATAACACGGTTTGAAAATTGAATATTTTTAATTTATTTATACGATTTTATTCCATTTAGCACGATTTGAAATTTTATGTACTTAAATTGTTTTGTCAAATTTAATTTTTGCGAAGTATGTTCATATCACAAAAAAGTATTTATGAAAGTAAAAAGTCTGAAACCATCGATAGTTTGCGAACACTAGCTTAAAGATTTAAGTGAATTCCCCTTTAGCGCGTACAAACATTTTTTTTCGGTCAAAGCAAACGTGAATAGCACTATGTGCATACAATAAAATTTACTGGTCAGAGCAATTGAAACGTGTTAATATTTTGTGAACTGTTAATGCAATAAGACGTGTTTGGTAAAAAAAAAATCTTGTTTTCCACTAATTTTAATAGGTTTTAGAGATTAGGAACAAATCACCCATTTTTGTATAAGATCAATGTCTTTTTTACACGGTTTTTTTTACACGGCTTCTTCTGGAACCAATCTACCGTGTAAAAACAGACTTAGGTGTATCTGGATCAGTGAGATCGGTTTTCATTATATTTCTGAAATTTGTTCATGATTTTATGAGACGAGTTTGTACCAAAGCACAATTCAATAAAAAAATCTAAAGGGGAGCATCTATCTTGATCACGGGTGCAATTCGGAGCACACCTCTCACTGCACTGGATACCCTTACTGAACAAGGTATCTACCATGTTATAATGAAATCATGGTGGGGCACTGCTACCAATCGATTTTATTTTTATTATTTTCCTGGCTTAAACATTTCAATTTTAGTTGAGTATATCCTTTTCAATTATACGAAAATTGCATAGAAAATATTTAATTTCAGTTGTAATCAAAATGTTTATTGCAACGAATGTTTGGATAAAATTTACCCATTTTGTGAGGAAATAAATTTTAAGAGATATACAGGCATGTCACAAAATCGTATCGAAATGGTTTGAATTTCGCAATTCAAAATCTTACGATTTTGTTTTACCTTTACCTTCTTCAGATTTCGTACGATTTGGTGAACTATGAATTCAGTGTAAATATGGCAACATTATATATTCAATATGGTAACATTAGGGGAATGAATGAGGAATCAAAACAAAACACATGATTAGAAAACATTGTAGAAGTGTAACTTCTAAAAGAATATTCTGTTAATTAGAGTTTTGTGTGCAAAAAGAAAGTTCATTTCATTATTTTTTACGCAATGCCAGCGGTTTCGATTGTTTCTGTAATTGAGGCACAAAGTAATGAACACAATACTGAAAAAATACGCCGGAGGAATTTAAGAGATGGTTCGGAACGAATCCCTGTGCCTGTCCCTAAAATATTAATTAATTAAACAGTATTCCACAATACATATTTCATTACATTTTTCTACAAAATTCTTTTTGGTGTGTTCTTTTTGTTTTGTTTTTTTTCTATTTGCTTCAGTTTATTATTCGTAATACCACACTGTTTGGTTTTTACAGATGAAAAATTTTTGTTTGACGAAAAAGTGATTTGGCAACACTTTGTTAACAATTGCCTTCGTCAAATGAGAAACCGTTAAAATTTGCTAATCATTTTGAATAAAAAGATTAAAAATGTAAATTTAATTGTGTATTTCTCATTAAAATAACATTTTTATTACTTAAAAGTATTTTGAGTGTTTTAAAGTCAAAGTTTCCATAAAAATAAAATTCCACTTGCAAAAACAAAAGTGGTTTCAAATCGAAAAAATGTTGCGATTTACATTTCTGTAGAAGCCAAATACGAAATTAAGATCACGTTCGTGCCGAATTCATTCTTGTGACATGCCTGATATAGAACTTGATTTTGAATAGAGATCTTGAGCTTTCATTCAGTTTTCGCCTTTTTTGTTTATTTATTCAAAATCAATGCATATTTTTCTTTTTTATTTGATAATTTTTTGCGTTTGTTGATAGTAATTCTGACATTACAAATTTTCCAACTTAGCCTTCCTTGTCCTGATTGTACCATGGTCCTTACTTCAAATCAATATCTGTGACAAACACGAATAAGTAAAAAAATGTTTGGTGTATGGTTTTTGTGTATTTTTATTTATTTTTAATGTATTTTTTATTATTTACAATAGTAAGATCTACACATGGGTTGTTTTATATTTTAATATAAATAGAATATGTAATAATATATATAGCAGAATATATATATATATATATATATATATATATATATAATAATAGATTGCATTACACAAATACACATATATCTAAAACATAATTTGTTTATAATCATAGCATATTAACTTTATCCTAAATTAAATCTGTAAATCAATAGATAACGATATTTCTGTTCGACAGACTATTTTCATGTAAACATTTGTTTCTGTGATTGTGAACGGATATTGGTAATTATGGGTTTGGGGTTTAATACGCGAATATGAGCAAAAACCACACCTTAGCTTTCAGAAAACGACGATAAACTGCTACGTGTTGAGCCAGTGAAATGATCTCGTTGTAATGTGTCCGAAGGAACGGATACAATTAGCGATCCTCCATACAAAGATTCCAGTTCTTCCATTTGCTTTGCAAATGTCTCTTCCAGGCGCTAAATACAAGTATTATTAAAGAAAGAATAAGAACATGTACATTATTAATCTGTGGCTGATCGAAAGTTAGTGATCATTAGTGTGACTAACTAAAATGAAATATGAGCATTAAATAAAAACACGAAGAATCAACACAATCCTTATTATCACTGATCCACTGGCCGAAACCAATGGGTCCTCTTGCGGTTTATAACTCAACTCATTTTACATATAATAAGGTACGATTACAAGACAAGCCAAGACAATGTATAGATGCAAACAATTAACGGAATTGAGATATATACCACAACAGTCGTACAAGTTATAACCAAATGTAATATAATGATTTGACAATAATAATTATTAATGAATTTTACCAACCTTTTGCGGTTTTGTTGTATGTGTATCCCGATAATATGGTAATGAATGTTTATGAAGTTGTAAAGGACTGATTTATGATAGCATACGACAATATGAACAAAAAATAAAATACATAGTGTCATAGAATTCAAATCTGGACATCATTTTTTCGGTCGTCACCAAAGAAAACTTTTGATATATCAGTCAACCTTTAAGGGAACTATTGTAGTAATCGAACGATTTAAACAATACCACAAAAAAAACATTTTATTCATTTTTGTTATAGCTGTGAACCACAAATTTTGTTAAAGATATCCCCAATATATCTATATTACGGGTGGCTTTGTTACAAAGAATGTTAATCAAGATGGTGACCAAAAGCGTCGAAGAACCGAATAACATTATATAGGAGCTATACGAAAACAAGAACCCATATTGACAATTATTGGCAGTTGCTTCCCTAGTTTCGATATGATCAATGCGTTACTATAACAAATTGCTCGAAATTATTATTTTCTTGTATTAAACTTTAATATATATAATCATTTAAATTTTGAAAGAATACTAACTCCAATGCTGCTGAGCTATTAAATCTCAGCACAAATCTCAAAGAAGTTTACTTCTCGGATAATCCATACAGATAAATTCATGGACTTGGACATGGACATTGGTGACAATTATGTAGATGTGACTTTCAGTTTCCACGCATAATGCATAACATCATCAGAAATTTATATTTGCTGATTTTATCTTTTATCTTGGGTCCCAGCTAAAATATTGTTGATCAAAACAACATCAAATAAATAACGTCTATTGTGAGTTGGACTTAGTGTTTATTTCAACTAAAAACTTTTCCTCATTCATTCTCAATTGATAAGTTTTAACACTCTCATAATATATATCGTCATATTTACAAGAACGTCTAAAATGTATATTTTGTGGAATAACCACAACATTCCATACATGTTTGGCGGTTTTTCACCAACATAAAAAATTTGTTAAAAATTTCAAATAAACAAAACCAATTGCTGCATATTTATTGTGTCTATTTGACACTATAAGACTCCTCTACAGAGTTGCGTTTTTCCTGGTTTCTCAATCGGGTTATGCTTCTAAGTCTCAAAAAGGACGCATCCTGTACGAGAGTTCTCGTTTTCAGCTGTGATGAGAGGGGGTGGTCTCCTAGTACAGTATTCACTCTATATCCTTCCATGACTTCTGAGACCGCGTCAGAGTAAATAGTTGTTGTTGTAGCAGCTCATACATCTGTGTTCCTTCGGTTTCCATTTTCCTGACTTTATTCAATCAGGTTCTGCCTTTAAGTCCAGTCTCAAAAAGGATGCAACCTGTATGGGTTGTGTCCATAACGGGACTGGAGTTAGGTGAGAAGGCTTGGGGCTGGGCAGCGAAATAGGTGCAGCGTGTCATGTGGGCCTGTGCCACAAACTAGGCAGATGTTCTGTACGTCGCTGCTAATCCGGGCCTAGTAGGAATTGAGGCGGCTGCACCATCCGGATCGTAATTGAGCCAAAACTACTCAGGTTTGTCGGGGCAGCCCTCGTTCTTCAGCTGCGACGGGAGGGGGGGTGGTCTCCTAGCACAGTATTCACTCTATATCCTGCAATGGCTTCTGAGATCGCATTAGAGTAAATACTATTCAGTCCCGCTTGATAGGCCTGTTGATCTAGAGGCTCTCTCTTATACCTCTGTTCCTCTCTCTCTAGATCATGAAGGTCTTTCCTAACGTGCCTGGGCGGAAGTTGCCTATCCACAAGATGGTGATTCGGATGGTTTTGTCTATAACACCCAAGCAGTTCTAAGGGCGGCATTACGCAGGACTGAACATTTTTCCACTGCGTAGCACTGACGTTGGCGGACCACACCGGAGCCGCATAGTTTACCACAGACTGACCTATCGCGTTGTAAGAGGTCAACAAGGTTTCCTTATCAGCTCCCCAAGTACTGCCGGCCAGAGACTTGAGGACCTTGTTCCTACTTCTTATCTTGTCGCAGATAGCTGTAGTATACGCGGACGACTTAAAGAGGCTATCGAATGTGACCCCTAATACCTTGGGGTAGTTGGTGGTCGGAATTGTAGCACCAACGACCTGCACATTCAAGGATAGCCCCAGCTCCGCAGTCCATGTGGTGAAAAGTGTGGCCGTCGACTTAGTGGCGGATATTTTCATATTCCTCGCAGTGAAAACGGCGGTAAGTTCAACAAGGTAAGCGTTTAACCGATCGCAAATGTCATCAATAATGGGTCCGGACGCCACGAGCGTACAATCATCTGCGTACGTTATAATCTTTATGCCGTCTGGAGGGCGTGGAATGTCAGGAAAGTAGAGGTTAAACAGTTCCGGAGATATCACCCCACCTGGGGAACTCCCTGTTTAACTCTACGGATGATCGACTTCTTGTTTCTGAATTCCACGTACGACTGGCGTCTACACATGTATGTTTCTATCCAACGTTTCAAACTTGGCCGAACAGTGTGGCATGATTGACTGTATCAAAGGCTTTTGATAAATCAAGTGCCACCATATCTGTTCTATCACACGGCCTGTTCTGGTTGAGACCTCTGCTGACATGTGTGGAAATGGTGTGTAAAGCTGTTGTTGTGAAACACTGGGAAACACTCTCTTATGCTGGGGAGAAGTAAAGCCTCAAGTGTCTTTGCTACTGGTGACAAAAGTGATATCGGCCTGTATGAATCAATTTTGGTGGCATCCTTGCCTGCCTTCAGTAGCGGGACCACCTTGCTCATTTTCCAAGCATCGGGAACTATAAGGATGGCTGCCTTTTCTGGCAAATTTAGTCTTATTTCAGATATTCGACCAGCAGGTATATAACGAGCGGCTGCAGCTTTGATGATGTCCCGAAAACACATATCTGCTACCTGTACATCAGATGAGCTGGGCAGTTAACTAAAGCGGCGATTTGTATGTTCCCTGAATTCTTGCAATGGGCTTTCCCATGGTTAATGAAAGTGAGGCGTTCTGATTGCCATGTGACGCCATTCGTCAGACCTGGGGATATGTCCGATGAGTTGTGGCAGTCTCGCCTTATTCTGGTGGGCGCGTCCACATTCACTGTGCAAAGCGTTGAGCTATCACTTTGCTTAGCCAGCGCCATGCCCCTTTGGTCATTACCTAGGAAGGAATGCCATAATTCATGATGGTCATTGAATTCCCCTATCACCAGACGGTTATTGCCTTCCAGAAGTAAACTAATTTTGGGCACAAAACGTGGGCCACAACTATTTAACGGTAGGGTGTACACGTTAAGCACCCCTAACTTGGCGGTTCCAAATTAGTCAAGCTCAGGCGAGATAGCTCTGTACCGGACAGAGTGGTGCAATAGGAACGCTAATCCTCCACCTCTGGTGAGATCCTTCATCAATACGTTGTATCCATCACAATCCCGGAGACAATCGCAGTTGAATTGGAGAACATATGCCTTGTCCGGAACTTCAACAGTAATGGGTAGCTGTTATGAAGATTAAAGGGGAGTCTCGTACCCGACGACGATGGACCCACTCCATCCATCCGTTGCATCTCACTGAGACCGATCTGTGGTGGATGCAATTATGACAAACGGAGCAGAACCATGACTGGGGTTGGTCACGATCCAAACTCGGACCAAGAAAATACTGAGCAAACATTCCGGGCAATGTTGCTCCCACATCAGAAAAATGGGCGAACACGAACATATATTTGCTGGGTAGACGGTCCTTGGTCGAAGGTTTGTTCCTCCGGGTCAATCCGGTACATAGAACCGGCCGCCATGGGATTGAAAATATTGCTGTCGTTGAGACTGATGTTTGCACAAAGCATTATATTTAAATGTTAAAAGACAAAAAAATCTATCAAATAAAAATATGTTTGCCATTTCATAATTTGGCATGTGTTTCATTATTTAAACTTCAAATCAGTTATCTCTTAGAAGAACGCCCTTACAATAGGTAATAATTTGAACCCTAGCACGCCATAAAAAATCTATCTTGAGCTCTTAGAATATAGATATAGCTTTACTATATTTGTCTATAACTTGATGTAAATGGCGCACCATGCTGAGTTTGTCCAATTAGATTGAATTTTTGGAACATACGTAAGGCATACAAATACCTCGGCCAAATTTAGCTTCCATATATCAGTTCCACTCAATATAAACTTGTATTTTCTAAGGCTCTGCTAAATTGTAAATTCGAACAAGCATACAATGGATAAAAGAGAAAACAAAATCTACTTTTCTCAGCTAGGGGAGATGCTCGACACTCATTTTTTGTCATTTTTTATATTGTATGTTTTTTTTTTTATTTGACTAGATCGAATTGCACATTTGTAATGTTTTCTTTTTTAATTCTGATTGAAAGAGTGTAAATGAACAAATTAGTTTTGCTCCGAACATTTGTAAAACATTAGCTTTTTTAAAGCATGTGTCCTACCTATTTATATTCTAATATTGGAATAATCCTTCTACTATCTACTTTCGTTTGGCAAATTTTCATCCAATGACAACCCAAAATGCTATATGGAGGATATACGTCTGTATGAAGTTTATCTGAACTATTGCGCCATATATCGTGATTTCAGCGGAATGAGGAAAGCCAGTCGCATATAGTTTAATCCATTGATATCCCCAATGAATCTATTTATGTGTTACAGACTGAATGATAAAATATGGCGGAAAAATGACTACGATGTAAAGTATAGTATAAAGATAAATTGTGTTTGGCTGTCCAAATATCAGCTCATTTGAATGAAACTTATAATTGTAGAAAAATACTTTATGAAGACAATCATAACCCGCTTTCATTTTTAATAGATGTGCTATACCCATTATGTTTCCAATTATAAAATTAAAGCATATGGTACGTGGCCCTATATTGAAAATGTTGCTTAGTATATGATTTTCAAAAAGAAAAGTCATAAGATTACAACTTATTTGAGCTAGATGGGTTCACAAAAAAAATATTCACGTGGGATTAAAGCGATTTATTATTTGCAATTTATATGACCTACATGACAATAAAAATTGCTTTGAAGAATGAGTTTTGCATTTGGACCTTTTTGAACGACCAAATGTGGACAGATGTAAAGGTTGAGTAATTTGCGTAAACAGAGCGACGAGTAATAATTTTACATTTACAATTTACAGTGTTCTTCACATGTTGATAAACGCTAATACCTTGAAGTAATATACGATTTGTAGAAAATATTTACTGTCGGAAAAACAGTAAATTTCATACCCCCCATTTTACGATTTTAATAAAAAAACAATTATTATTTCAAAATTAACGAATAAACGAAATAATAATTAAAACGGTAATTGTACAATTCGCACTCAACGTTCTAAAGACAAAAACAAATACATAGTCAATAAAATACGGTCCAATTGCCCATAACTAGCGTTTCTATGACACTACTCATGATGTACTTTATAGTCACAATAGTCACATATGAGCTACTAAAATGCCAAGCATAAGATTAATATAGCTTTGAAATCTGCCTCTTTATCTTCTTTGCGGATATATACATATATATATATATATATATATATATATATATATATATATATATATATATATATATATATATATATATATATATATATATATATATATATATATATGATAGAGAGTTATATTTAATACAATTAAATATTAGGGTAGTTATCTAAAACAAGTTTAAAGAAATGGATAATGTTTACGTAACATATAAGACGACACATACTAGTTAGTGTTAAAAAAATAAGAAATGCTGAGGGACAATGTATGAAATAATGGGAAATGTGATTTATGGCATGGTTTTTTTGTATCAGCTATGTGGCAGAATCTGTATTTTTAGTTTTTTGATTTTCGGTAGCATCCTGTACAACTCTGGGAAGAGTAAATTTAGGACCCCTTTGAAGTAAAAATCCATCATATGGCCTATCGTCCTGACATGCATTGGAACGTCGCAGAGTAGCACGAAGCTCTGGATCGACCTCATTCAGAAGGGCTGCCGCTTTTTCGCCTGCCAAATTACCATCATTTAGAGAAACTTGGCGCTGCACTGCCGTATAGTTTTCCGAAATGTTGTGAAGCGAATATGATGCATTCAAGGATTTTGTTCTTTCTGGTAGAATTGATGGTCGTTTAATGACGAAAGAAGACGATGGATGAAGAAGTGGATGTGACTTTCCTTGTTCTTCGCTCGAGGCAAGAGATTGTCGACCAAAACGATTAACAACAATGTCATCCGAATTTATACGAAGTTCAACAGTGGATGGTTTCAACGAATCTCGAAATGTTGTTAAAACTTGGTTATTTTCTTCCTTGATGGAATGTATTGCACTTGGTGTTGGAGACGTTTTGATTTTAACAATATCGTCTTTGTTAATTGTATTTCTAAGGGACGGTGACGTCGAGCGCAGTCCCATGTTTTTATTACCATCGTGTCTGGAAAAATTACTCAATCTAGTAGCTACACTTATCTCGGATTTCTTGGGTGTACGCGAGATAGAATCGGATCCTTCTAATAGCTCATTCGATGTCATAGGACGATCCTGTTTGTAGAAAACCGGCGTATTTGGGACGCTTCTACTAAGATCTGGCACGGAACTACGGAAATTCGAAGCTATGCTAGATGAAAACATTGACAATGTTCTCGACCGAAGCATTTGTTGTGCATTGTTTAAAAAAGTTCCTTTTGGCACTACACGTGGAATGTCATTAAATATTCCAACTAAATGATTGGGCAACTCAATCGGCAGTCTCACTAAATCCTCGTACATTCGATCGTCCTCTCTTATTCCGTATTGACGTACGAACTCCCTCATGATGCCTTTAAATGTTTCAATCATTTTCTGAACTCAACGTGGTTCATGATTGTTAATAGTTCGGAAAGCAAATAAACAGGCGTCATGCAATCATTTCGATATTTTTGTTAGTAGTAAAGATATTGGTAGTGGTAGTAGTAGAATTGGTAATAGTAGTAGATAAATGTTACGTTTATTTAAGGCAGTGGAGTTTATCCAATTATATACGGCCATATGGCAGCAATTAAAGTAGTAGAAGAAAAAAAAACAAATATTTAAGCTGTTATTTATATAAATATGCATTAGAAACTAATTGTTTACGTACTTATAAATATTCCTTTCAACTATTTAATTATAATTGCATATTTAACCGTACCCATGTTAAATTGATACAAATATATTTGGAAATGTGTTACAAATTATAAGTTACCTGTTTTCGTGGCACCAGCTGATCCTTCCATTCTCTCAATTCAGCCTTTAAACGTTCATCAATCTGGGATAGCTTAGCGTGTTCATGCTCTACAAGGGCTTTACGCTTTTCGTTCTGCAGCTGTTCCAGCTCCCTTTAATTAAAAAAATTAAAACTTGTTTTATAATAAAAGTTGACAATAAGGTGGTAAATCGCTATCATTGTGTAAAATGTATGCCAAATAAAAACTATTTTTTATTTGAATACAAATTGAAATAAGTTTCACTAATTTTAAATCGAAATGTTATGTACATCAACTAACTCGATTACAAGGGCGGTTAAGAACCTTCTTAGCCTATCAATGAAAGAGAATCTATCCCTTTTAAAATAGTTTTCCTCGAGGTCTTCAAAATAGTGGTTTACAACTGTAATTACATCTTCATTTGAGGTAAAACGCTTGCCAGAAAGGATTTTTTTTAGATTTGGGAACAAGTGCGCTGGTCGTTGTCTTGATGAACAATTTTTTTATTTTTTCTGTTGTAAGCCAGGACTTTTTTCACGAACTTGTACATTTAATTGATCCAAAATGTTGCAATAGTACTCTGAATTTATTGTTTTACACTTTTTTTCTGCTTATACCGCGCTTTTTGTGCTAGGCTACGAAGTTTCGGAACTTTCCTCGTATGTCACGTTTCATATACTTGGTTCTACCCAAGGCATTAGTTAAGTCAGATGATGTCTGCTCTTCCGTCAAAACACATTGTCTTTTTCTGACGATGTATGGTAAAAATTTTTTAATAATTTTTTTTTCAAAAAAAAAAAAAAACGTATTATTTATTTAAAGCAAAAAAACATCTTAATAAAAATGTGAACATCTTTTTTATTTTTGTGTTGTACATGATGTATTGTTTTCTTGAATTTTGTTTGAGTGTAATAAATGGAATTATGACATAATGAAAAGATGTATCTCTACTCGCAAAGTAGACTAAATACAGCAAGAATCGATGGGAAAATGTGGTCAAGACCCTTGAAATGATCGACGATCTGATATTTGATATTTTTTAATGCTCTTTATTGAAAACTAATAAAAGAGTATTTTTCAAGTCTTTAAACTAATTTGCGTGTGACAAAATTAGTATAAAATCATGGATAAGTTTATTTGTTATGAGCATACTTGTTAGTAATTTGGTGTAGTGTGTTTTATGTATATTAGTGTAATTAGAATTATTCTTGTTTCATTGTTCAAGTTAGACTTATCTTCTTCTTTTTTATCCTTTCTAATTGTTGTTATTGTAATTTTTTGTAATTACTTTTTCCTACATTCTATCTTGTTAAAAAAACTGAGTTCCCATATAATTATTTATTAATCTCTTTGGGTATTTGGAATATTTACCTCTGAATGTACCGATTTAATGCAATTTTCGAAAAATTTCCTAATTTATATGAATTAGTTTCTCACCAGTCGTATATGGTCCGAAGCGTTAAAGGACTGATATCGGATATCGATCGGGATCGCGTACACATCATGATCCGCATCATTATGGGAATTCAGTAGGAAATTGAAAACCAGCTACAGAATCTAATTCATCAACTAGTTTGTCAAATAATAAAACATGTATTTTAATTGTTTAAAAATAAAATTATTCTAGATTTAATAACTTCTAAACTCATACCAAAATCTACATTACAATACACAGAATTAAAGTCAACATACATTTTATTAAGAGGTTCGCCCATTGAATGAAAATCGGTATATAATAATTGGTAGTATCTACTAGATCTAAAAGGAACATTAATTCTAATAGATGAGATTAGGAAATCTGAAGGTATATAACCATTTAATATTTTTAGTACAAACATGGAGTTCAACATAATACGTCTGCTTTTATTTGTAGGCAATCTAATTAATTTTAGCCTGCTAGCATAAGAAGGCAAAACAAAATCACTATTCCAATGTAAACCTCGTAAGGCAAATAGCAGAAATTGTTTTTGCACGGATTCTATTTTATCTGAATATATTGCATATTCAGGATCCCATACAACAGAACCATATTCCAATATAGGTCTAACAAGAGACGTAAATAACTGTTTTGTTATATATGGATCAGAAAATTCTTTGGCCCACCGTTTAACAAAACCTAAAACACCATTTGCTTTATTTACCATTGTTATTACATGGCTATTAAAATTTAATTTTGGATCCATCAAGAGGCCTAGATCGACAAATGAATCTACAGTTGATAATGAATGACCGTCAATATTATATTGTAATATCAGAGAAGAAGATCTGGAGAAGCACATATGCTTACATTTGCTTAAATTTAACTCCATACAATTTAACTTGCACCATTTAAAAAGGCTATCTAAATAGTTTTGAAGTAAACTGGCTCGTTTATCACAATTATGGGAAATGAATAATTTAACATCATCTGCGTACATTAACAATTTCGAGTAATTTATGGAATTAGGTAAATCGTTGATAAATAAAAGAAAGAGGACCGGTGACTTCCTTGCGGAACACCCGATGGAACATTAATCGTTTTGGATAGATACCCTTCAAACAAAACTAGTTGTGATCTATCTTTTAAGTAAGATGATATCCATTTGACTAAGTTTGTGTTGAAACCCATATAATTTAATTTATATATTAGGAGTTCATGGTTAACCCTATCAAAAGCTTTACTAAAATCAGTATAAATTGTATCAGTTTGTTTACGCTGAACAAATCCTTTTATTACTGTTGACGTAAATTGTATAAGATTTGTTGTAGTTGAAAGACCACTACGAAAACCATGCTGATATGGACTCAATATAGATTGAATTTTCTGTGAAATTACTTCAGTAATTAATTTTTCAAACAATTTTGGTATGGCACTTAATTTTGCAATTCCTCTATAATTTGACACATTAGTAAGACTACCAGACTTATGTAAAGGTATAATATAAGATTTTTTCCAGAAAGTAGGAAAGAAAGTAGGAAAGTGACCAAATTTCAGTGAATAATTAAACAATATAGTTAACGGAAGTGCTAATGTTTCTGAACAATATTTAAGAATTATATTAGGTATGCCATCCGGTCCTGGACATTTAATCGATTTAAAACTACGCAGACTATTGTACACATCCTGACGTTGTAGAAAAGGCATACAAATTTGATCAGCCTGTGACAACTTATAAGGATACGAATCTTTAATTTGGCAAGATGTACTGGAATATTTTGTGGCAAAAAATCTGCGAAACATTCAGCAATATCTGTGCCTGTGACAAATTCTTTATTGTTATATTTCAATACTGAGGGCTTTGAGGAAACTTTTCGTTTTAGATTAACAAAATCATAAAAAGATTTAGGATTGGATTTAAAATTATTTTTAATCTTGTCTAGGTAAAGATTGTACAATCTACGAGACTCTAAAGTATATTTAGATCTAGCAACAGAGTAATTAGTGTAGTCTATTGTTAAGCCTGATTTTTTATATTTACGAAAAAGCTTATTTTTAGAGTTTTTTAAACTTGATAACTCAGAGGTTATCCATGGATATTTATTTGAATTTTTAACTCTAGTGGTTGGAACACATTCCAGTTTAAATCTATTTAAAATATCATAAAATTTATCAATTACATATTCTAAATCTTTATGGCTGTTACACAGGCACACAGAAGCCCAATTTACGGAGGAAATGAGGGTATTAAATTTTCGAAAATTAGTTTTTTTGTAATTAAGGACAGTTTTAAATGAGTCGGACTTACTTTTTTCAATTACATAACTGTGAGTCATGGAGATATATAAAGTTGGATGGTATATATCTTCAGGAGTGCATATTGGAGGAATTTTGAATATATCAAAATGCTGTGTTATATTTACAAACGCCAAATCAAGAATTTTGCCGAGGGAATTTTTCACACTGTTTATTTGATAAAGATTTAAGTAACACAAACTATTTATAACATCAAATGTATACTGGGTACTGTTCATTTCGGATGGCAAAGGAATCAAAGCTTCAGAATCTGGCATTAGAAGCCACCTAATGGAGGGCATATTAAAATCACCAAGGATCAGAATGCGATCGGAATCTTTCATTTTTTCAGTGATTAAATTTATTGCTGATAAATGCTGATTATAAATGTCAAATGAAGATGAAGGGGGAATATAAGAGCAAGTTACAAACAATTTAGATATGCCCAAGTCAATGGAAACACCAACAAATTCTATATCAAGAAAATCATTTAGATCAATTAAATTAGTGGTATATTTGGTATCAACTGCAATAAGGACGCCACCACCTTTTTACAAACACGATCTTTTCTAAATATTTGATATTTTGAACATAAAATTTCACTATTTAATATAGATGTTTTTAACCAAGTTTCGGAGAAAACCAATACATTATAATTGAAACCAATGCTATCAGTATATAAACTGGTTAATTTTGTATTAAGCCCCCTTACATTCTGATAGCAAATAGAAAATGAGTCATTTAGTTTTTTGGCACCGAATCTGGTCTAAGAGGCAAATGAGCTAAGTTATCGGATCTCTCCACAAATTCTTTAATAAATGCCCTAGCAGGCCAAAATTCTTTTAAAATCAACTGTACAAAAATATTTTCAGGCACAACGATTTTGAAAGAAGATCTACTTTCAGAAAATGCAGATCGGAGCTTATAGCATCTCAAAAAGTAATCTCCCTCAATTTTTGATTTTATATAATACATTATGTCATCGGCCGATGTTTCTGGCGCAAACCTTGTTGCAAATATCATTTTCATGGCGGGAGCCATAGATAATGATCTTTGGACAGGTTGAGTTTTGCCAGTAGCAGTCTCGGGACGATCACTAGTGATAAGTGAAGGAAGTGATAATTCCTGTATGTTACGAGTAGATTGGGAGGTTTTCGTAGAAACCTCACTATCAATACTCATAACTTCAGGATTATTTACCCCTTTACCTATACCGCTGTTATCTACCGGAACTGGGTGTGTAACAACACTGGCATACGACTGTTCACGTCCAGTCTCAGTTGTTTCAGTGATATTAACTGAAACCGGTTGTGGAACAGTGTTCTCCACAGAAACTATTGCTTTGCGACTAGGCATTCCCTTAGTTGGTGCCTTTTTCGCAGCCCTTTTGCGTTTCTGGCCAGAAACTGACGGTGACGAC